AAAAATAAGTTATAAATAATGTTGTAAAATGCCAAGAAATTTATGACACAGATTTATCACAATTTCTTAAATTAATTTCATACTTAAATTTATAAATCGATTCCATAATCTAAAAATTTATTATGAAACTAGACTTCTCAAGCTTCATTTTTTTATTCATAAATTACCAGATTTGGTTTAATATAAGATTTTTAATGATTTTTCAAACATACAGTAAAATCTGTATACAGTTCCATATTTAATTAAAATTTTGTATAAATTTGTACAAAATTAGAATAATTGTTACAAAAATTATTGGATGAATTAGACATTATTTGTAACAACTTTGTAGAAGAAATCATCTAAAAATTTTGTGTATAAAATTGTCTAAAAATTCATACAACGTTCTAGCAGATTTAAGAGTCATATAATCAGGCCAAATAAAATCTTCGATCATCTCTTTAATGGTATAAACTACACATGCAAGTCTAATTTCACAATTATATCATGATTTTGAGGCTACTAATATAAAATTAACATTCAAATATTTAATATACAAATTATAAATTTGCATACAACTATACACAAGATTTTATCTAAAATTTTAGCTATGAATACAAATCTGAAATTTTAACAATTAAAAAGAACGAGGGGAATGAGAGGATTTTCTTACTTAGTAGTAGGATTGAAATGGGGTGATGAAATTATAACTGCCTTAATCTTCTACTCTCCTTCGTGTCCCTACTTAGCTTAGCTTGCTCACATTTTTCGCTCTTCTTCAATCAGTTTGAGAAGGAAGATTGTAAACTATATGTATATATAGGGACTCCTCTCTCTCTCTCTCTCTCACATATCATTCTATTGAGTCTCATCAAATTTTCTAAACCCAAGAGATATAATGAGAGCCTATATCCTACAATAACATGCATTCATACAAGTGTCACCACCAAAAATCTGATTTTTTTTATGTTTTATTTTTTTATATTTGTGTGAGTTTCTTAAAATTAATTAATTAAGGTTTTTAACTAAGGTATTTAGTAAGGATAATTATTATGTTGAATCTTTATTAAAATAAATTATAAACAATAAATATTAAATATCTACAAAATTATTATTCTTAACAATATTTTTGTTATGGATTAATTTAAAACTAGTATATATATATATATATATATTAGATAGACTCTGGATAAAATTAATTTATTAATTTATTTATAATTTTCTTCTAAGAATAATTAAATGTGGGTTCTCACACAACCTCCCTAATCAGCTCTAGAATCTCAAAAGGCTCAATAAATTTAGGAGACAACTTCTCGCTTTTTTCAAATCTCATCAAACCCCGCTTTCGTAATATCTTCAGAAACATGTGATCCTTTGCCTCAAATGACCAAGACCTCCTCTAACAGAATAAAAAGTCAAAAAGTTAACCCAAACATCCATATTTTCAACCTCAACTTTTTAGTCCAAAAAGACAAAAAGTGCACTTTTTTAGTCTTTCAAAACTTGGCCTAAATGCGAGTTCTCACATCTTTAATAAATTTTAGGAGGTGTATTTGTAATTTACCCTAATAGGTATTGTTATTGTGACAAAAATTTTAGATTAAAACATAATATGTGGAGCAATTCTACTTGTACCAAAAAGGGTCTCCTTACATCTTTTTTTCTTATTAAACCCTTCACAAAAATTTGAAAATTTGATTTTCTCTTCTCTTACGTATAATAATACCAAACATACCCTAATCTTTTTTAAATCCAATCCTACCACTATTACAGCCATTGTCGACACCACGTCCACTTCTAGCGAGACCTTCTTCACTGGCATTTTCTCATTGCAACTCACCTCCATAATTCCTTCACTCACTAGCGAACTCATTCCCATTGCAAACCTACCTCTCCAACTCCCTCTTCATCAATGAGCCTCCATTGTGACCTCCATCTCCCATCCTTGAACCCTCATCGCCAGAACCTTTTTCACACCGCCATGATCCTCCTTGCTCTAGGGTTTTTGGATCTAGGGTTTTAAAGAAGAAGAAGATAATTTGGAAGGGGTTGGGTCGTGCAACGAGATGAAAAGAAAAAGAAAAAGAAGAATGAGATTATGTAGTCAAAGAAGGCAAGAAAGGGAGACGATTGGAAAAGGGGGAAACATGGAGGTTGTAGAGGGACGGCATGGGAGGGAATGTGGTGGTTGGAAAAGGCAGTAGTAGAAAGGAAAAAAGTGGGCACCAACGGCGAAGATGGGTAACTCTAAAGACTTGGAGATGGGTGAGAAGAGAGATTATGGTTTAAAGATTTTAAGAATTGTAGGTTTAAATGTAATTTGTGTAAGAATAAGATTGTAATAAAAAAATAAAAATAAAGTTGAGAGGTGAAGTTGTGGGGTAAATAGAATCATCCTAATGTGTATTGAATTCAATTTGAGTGTGACAACATTGGCAAGTTTAAATCTACATCATCTCTTCTCTTAAATTATGGACATTGTTAAAAAAAGTTTACTTTAGATACATAATATTTCCAATTTTGGTACTATTTTAATGCCAAAAGTCTAACCTAGTTTGGACTGGTCCTTTTTAAGGCATCAATAGCTCAAAACCAAGCTGTGTATCCACACACTGGCCTTTTGTGGCCCATGAAACGAGTAGCCACTTTACATAGCCCAACCCAACCCAACCCAACCCATCCACAACAATGAAAACTATAGAATTGAAATAAAGAACAACACAGGCCTTAAAAAAAGAAATAAACAAAGAGTTGTCCCATTTCAACTATTTGCTTTATTTATTTTTTAAATGTTGATGTATGAGAGGGTCCAAGAATGTTACTGGAAAATTCGAATGCCACTGAAAAACTTGTCAAAAACTTCAAAGGCTTGTCGAGAAATTAGAAAATCCATCGAAAAACCCAAATTCTCTAGAAATGATGAGAAATGCTTAGATTATTCAACTGTTGCAACTAGAAACACACTATGAAGGAGATGATAGAGATAAGAGATTGGGTGAAAAAGAAGACAAAGAGATTAGAGAGAGAATAATAGCAAGGTTCTCCTATGAAATTTCCACTTCCACTTTCACTTTCAAGGAAATAATAGAGAATGGAGATTAGTTCTTCTCGGCAAACCTTTAGCCATCGTTGAGAAATTTGAATGTTGCTGAAAAACTCGCTAGAAACTTTGGTGGCTCGTTGTAAAATTTGAAAGTTCACCCGAAAATTCAAATTCTCTAGAAATAGATGGTGAGGCTTAGATTCTTCAATGACACAAACTAGAAACACAAAAGAAAGAGATGATGGAGATAAAAGATTGGGTGAAGAATAAAACAAAGTAGTTAAAGAGAGAATAATGGCAAGACTCTTCTATGGATTTATCACTTTCACTCTCAAAGATAAGCAATCAAGAGTTGGAGATTAGTTCTCTCCCAATAAACTCTCAAAAGTCTTCTTTAAAGCAATAAGTGAGTCTTATATAGGCAATTCATGATGTAAGATTCAGCCCATGTGTAAGTCACATGGAAGCACATCGGGAATACTCCCTCTAACCATTTCGTCCAAGGAGGTGACCTTTTCGAGGATGAAGAAAATCCTGAAGATGAGATCAATCTCTCAACAAACCTTTCTTATTACCCACACCCAACAATGATCTTCAATTATCCTAAAAGGGCTAAGGGCAGTTCAAGAGAACGCTTTACCGCGAATATCATTAAGCCTCGTGGACCTCCTAAGTCGTGCCACCTCGACCTAGGTATCAACTAGTTTAACTGAAGAGTAAATCTATCTACAGTCATTGTCCTCGCGATCGGGCCCTTCGTGCGAACTTTGCCATACTCATGTTCTGGTGCGTCAATTTCGGAAAGCTCCAAACTTGTAAACGTTTTAGGACTCATTAATGAAGTGACTTCTAGATTGAGTTTGAATCTGTTTGAAGCCAAATGTTTCGAATCTATAGGTTTGCTCAAAATCCTTTCAAGTCCGATCTCAAATAGGTCTCTGGATTCGTAGATTCGAATCTCGTCAAGATTAGAGTAATCTAGCCCATTTGATGATGATATCTCTGGGCCCACTAGTTTTGGGGCTTTTCAACTGGGCTCAATTAATTCAATGACTCGAGTTAACCTCTCTTACAATTATTTAGATGATTTATAGAAAAAAAAAATTTAATTTAATTGAATAATTGCAATCTTATAATTTTATAATTAAATTTTAGGATTTGGTAAACGTGGAGTTAGTGGATGAATTTAATTTAATTTTTTTTTTTAAAAAAAAAGGGGCAATTACATTTAAAGTGGGAGAAAAAAAAAATTACACAAATATGGAGGGATTGCACCCCTCACAGCCTTTTATTTACACTCTATCACAAAACTACTTGCACTCTATATATTTTTATAATTTGTTTGCATGCCAAATTATCCTTTTAAAAAATAATCACTTTGCTTAGTTAGAGTTTTTCAAAAACACTTTTCAGAAAATTCTACTTTTTTTTTTTATTGATTTTTTAAAATATTTTAACTATTTTTTTAAATTTTTAGACATATCTAACATAAATATACCTAAAAAGTAAAAAAATTGTGAAAAAAATCTTTCAAAAATTCACTAAATTACCAAAAATACAAAAAAAAATACGAGAATTCAGTACATTTTTTTTATTTTTATGTATTTATTAAAATTTTAAAATATTTTTTCACAAATTTTTTATTTTTTAGATACATCTAAATAAGGTGCATCTAAAAAAGTAAAAAAAATATTTAAAATTTTAAAAATATCCACTAAAAACAAAAAATATGAAAATTAAAAAACTCAATTTTTAAAAAATTTAATCTAAAAAATTTAAACCAAACACACTGAATATAATGTGAAGTGATAAAGCGCAATAGGGTGGGTCTAGAGACAATTTCAATGCTATGTATGGGAAAATTGTACAATAATTTCAGAGTATTACCCATTGAAAAACATCATTTATTATGTATCTTATGTTTCTTAATTATCTAACATAAATAATCAGTTGCTTCATTATTTTTTCATTAATCATACTAGTATCGAAGACCACATAACCGTATACCAAAAGAGGAGAAGTTAAGCCAAGTGCCATCCCAACTACCGTTTCTGAGGAATTAAATTATCCCTCTCTCATTTTCCGATGCCCCCAAAGGAAAGCCCCCAGATCCCGCTATCCCCCAATCTTCGATCTGATCGACATTCGAACATATTCCCTTATTCTTCATTCAATTATTCAGGTAATTAATATTCCTACTCACTTGTGTTTGGAGTTAGAGATTCAACGAAAGATTGAATATGTCAATATTGCAGATTTAAGCCCCTGTTTCACAATGGACCTCTGTCTTTTTATTATCATGTATATTTATAATTCTACTCATTATAGATCTGAAATTACTATTATACATTCTCAACTCTGATTCTATTTGGTGCTGATGATTTCTACAGCAAAGTTTGCTCTGCCACTGGAATAATCATCTGACCATTCTGGTTTATATTCTTTTGTGATAAGAAGACAGTTTGTTCTGGTGTTAAAATGGTATGGGAACTAAACTTTATATAGCTGATTTTTAATTCCATTCCTCCTTGTTTGGATTGATTGGATAATATTTCAAAATACCCACAAAACAAATGCAAATACAAATACATTTTTTGATGGAAACACTGGGTCCATGGTCAACATTTCAATGGTCTAGGTTGTTGATAATATATTTGCTACAGGGGAAGCAGTTTTAAGTAGCTACTGATTGCTCAAGCTCAAACTATCAAGGAGTTTAAATTGCTACACTTTTTTTTTCTTCTTCTTTTATTTAATTTATAACTCTGCAATTTTTAATTAACAGCTGTTTATTATTGTGCCTGTTTGTGGAGGATTTTATGGGTACCCAAGTTTTAGTGATTCCGAATTTCACTTTGGTCCCTCACATGTAAATTTTTTCCTGTTCAAAATATTAATGATAATTGACAAAGGATCACATTGAAACAAGATGGAAAGTATGGGGTCTAAATGATGCAATTAAAACGACAAGGACCAAAGTGAAATTTTACTTGAGGAATGAATGATGTAATTTATCCAATCATGTTTCTATTACAGGTTTACCACTCTAGTTTTGTTGATGAGGAAGGAGTTACTAAAGCTTGTGGGTGTCCACTTCTTCCTCTAAAAAGCCATATAAAGGGTCCTGCTCCAGTTTCAAATCAAGGTTAGACTTTCATTGTTCCATTTTTTAAACATGTTTTAACTACATTTTTATTCAATGTATGATTCATGTTTAGCTTATGTGCAGATAGAACTGATATTGTTGATGAGGCAATCACATTCTTTCGTGCCAATGTCTTCTTCAGAAACTTTGATATCAAAAGCTCGGCTGATAAGCTTCTTATCTACCTAACATTCTATATCAATGTAGCTTTGAAGAGACTTGAGGGGTGCAGAACTTTGGCAGAAGGAACCAAGGCAATCATTAACTTGGGGCTGGAAGATGTTCCTGTGCCTGGAGAGTCTGGTTTTCCCTTTCCAGGCCTCTTTGCCCTACCTCAATCTCGTAAAGAATCAGGTAAAATTCCTTCAAATATGTATATCTATATATATCTGTCCTATATTATGTTTTTAGCAACTATTGCATCTTCACTAGGTTGAAAATTTTTGGGAAAATTACATTTAAATGTAAACAATTTAAAATAATTGTACTTTTGTGGAGATGCAAGCCGGAGCAAGTAAGAGTTGTGTCCTATATCACAGCTTTCATTTTCACCAGACATAGGTTATTCTCATTCAAATGCAATTTTCCCAAAATTTTAATTTTTAGGAAACATTTTGAAATTGCAATCATGATATTTTTTTCAAATTGGTAATTTCTCATTTGTACTTCATGACTGCCTTGCACTTGCTATTATTTTCAAGGGAGAATGAGCTGTATAATTGATACTCTTACTGCTTAAATAATTTATGAGGAGTCCAGCAAGTTGCTGTGGTCATAGTTTTAGATTCATAGTGTTGTAATTCATAGTGCACTGATAATCATTATTAGTGCAAATCAAATCTTCAGTAGAGGTGTTTTATAAGATATATGAAGAGCCTAGAGACATTAGTAATCTGAGACATTAGTCAATCTATTAAAGGAATTTTGTGGTTTCTGTGTTTGGAATTCCCTCACTGTCTCTCATCTTGATTGTTTTGAAGGTAGAAGTTTGAAATAAAGTTGTTAAACTTGTTTTGTTGAATTCAACTTTATATATGGATAGAGATGTCAGAAGGATTCTTTTGTTTGTTTGCACAACAGTGTCCACTGGAATACATTCCAGATTTTTCTTCGAAATGGTACATAGTTCCATTTCGATGCTTCATTTGCCCTGGCTTTCAATTGTTTTTTGTTGTTGTGCTAGTATAACATTGTGATGAGAAATGTTGTTTCAATTTCTCAAATTTGTGCCTTCCTTTTTTATTTCTTGAATTGTTAGTAATTTTTTGTGAAGAGAATCTGTTGTAGAACATTTTTCTAACGATAAATTTCTCTTCCAATATTATCTTTTTATGCAACTTTATTTAAAATTAGAAAATAGAAATGTGTAATTACTGTTTGTTTTGGTAATTATAGTGCAAACCTTTGTATGTTTAGGCATATACATCTGGCCTTTGCCCATGAAAGTCTATTCTTAATAAGGCATTTTGATAACAACAGACCATCAACATGAAAGTTCATTCTGTTTGGTTGGTCGATAGAAACCTAAAATGTTGCAGCTTATTAGCCTGGGGAACATGGGGACTGGAAGGATTTTTTGCGTTTTATGTTGCCAATCCCAACTTTTTTGGTAGTTTTTTTTTCTTTTTTCTTTTTTGGAGTTAAAATTCCAATAGCCTCCTTTTAGCTATTGAAGGCCTATTGGTTGGGTGGGTGCTGAAGATCAACTTACATCATTGTATGTCCAACTCCTTTTATTGCGGACAATCTGCCTCAACCCTTTCTTACCTACTTCACTTTTGGCATGATGATTTAGCTATTTGAGAATTTTCTACACTGATTTCTGCTTCTTAACTGGTGTGGAATGTTGCTTGTGCATTCCCAACTATAACCTGGAGGCAACTTCCTTACGGGGTTTTTGTGGTTTTATGAAACAGCCTTCAATTTTCCCTGTCATAATTTTATAGTTTTCCAGAAAGCATAGACAGAACTAGAAAAATCATATTACAGCACTTAAAAGAATTGAAAAAATAAAATAAAATAAAATTTGCAGAGGTTGTTCCTTCAACATTCCCAGTAGTTTTTCATGTGTTGGTGCTTAAACTATGATTATGATTTGTAAAGCTTTGAACATGTTTAGAACTAAAATATTATATTGGCCTTCAAATATGATGTACAAAAGACCCTAATTGGCTTGTTTTGAGAGATAATATGCAAATCTGGCAAGTGTTCTTCACTTTGGTTTGTCTTCTTCCTCTTTTTCTTTAAGTTTGCGCATTTATTCTTTTCTTTTATCGAAATGAATGTTTGCACATAGATATTTTGGACAATTGGCTTTTGGTAGTTGACATGCAGCAGAGTTCAGCAGTGCTAATGGTGCATGTAACCCCCAGTTCATCATTATGGCTTGCGGTTATTAGAAGCAAGTATGAAAATCATGTTAATGGCAGGGACTCACAGGTGGTCACTAGGGGTAATGGTCGTGCTGCTTGGAAGTCAATTTCTCAAATTTATTCAATCTGGTCCCGTTTCCTTTCTGTGAGAGTGGGTAATGGGGAAGTTGCCAAATTCTGAGAGGATGTTTGGGTTGGTTTTTCTTAAATCCTCAATGGTGCATGACATGTCATAGGAATGGAAAATCTTTGGATCATCATCTATTTTTGCACTGTTCAGTAGCTGTGAGTTTGTGGCAAAGGTTGTTTAGCTTGGGAAATGTGATGTGGGTGGCCCCAAAAGGAAGTGAACAAATTATTTTAATTGATTTTCAAGTATTGGGAAGGTCGAAGAGGGTCAATGTGCTTTGTCTTTGTGTTGTCTTTGTGATTTTCTAGTTCATTTGGTTGGAGAGAAATGAGCGTGTCTTCGAAGAAGTTTCTCGTGATGGAGTTGTGTACTATATCACAGCTTTCATTTTCACCAGACATAAGCTTCTTTTTGGGCCTCGGAGAATCCTTTGCTCCGAGAGATTCCACTTTTATTTATTTATTTATTATTATTATTATCGCAGCAGGTTGTGTGTCATTTTGTGATATGTAGCACCATTGTGTTTTCTTTTGGTTTTGGTTTCATTGTTTTTTGGATTTTCATCTTTTGTTGTTCTGTCTTTTTTACTTTCTTTGCAGAGAATGCCTTATCCTCGTCTTCCTTTGGCTTTGTGCCTTAATATAATCTTTGTTGTTGTTGATATAATAAAATAAAAGAAAAAGGGTAAATTACAAATATACTCCCTGAGATTTGGTTAAAGTATTTATTGCCCCTTGTGATTTGAAAAATTACAAATACCCCATTGTCATATTTTTTTATTTAACAGAATTAACTCAAAAAATGAAATTCATAATTGCTCTCATATACAATAATAAAACTACCTAAATTATTAATTGAAATATATTTCTAATATCATTAAAAACTGTTAATTGTCTTTGATGATTTATTAATAAAAGGGGCGATTTGCTATGAAATTAGAAATCTTAGGGGGTGGAATGTAATTTCTAGAACTACTGGGGTGATTCGTATTTTAATCAAATTTCAGGGGGTGTATTTGTAATTTACCCAAATAAATAAATGTAACCCCTAGTTCATTGGTTTGGTTTGTGTTGTTATTCTCTCTTTGTCCTATGTGCCTAATATTTCATGCATAAACATACTTTGTGTTCTCGATACATATTGATGCTTGTAGAATGAATTGGTTAGAACTCAGTCAGTAATCAGCGCTGCATAGGAAATTTCAAATGCTGTTGACACAGAATTTTACAATTTAAGGATCTTTAATGAAAAAATTGTTGAGAAATGCTGAATAGATTGTTTAATTTTGTACCATTTAGATAGTTATGTATGCTGATACATTGCGACTGTTTAAGTAGTTCTAAACTTGAATCTTCCTTCTCTTCTTTCTGTAATAAAAATTGGTTGCAGAGCTTTTCAGGAATTACTTGAAACAGATAAGGGAGGAAACAAGTGGGAGACTCTTGAGCGTTGCATACAGGCCCAATGGCACACCAAATAAATGGTGGCTGGCATTCGCCAAGAGAAAATTTATGAACATCATTGTTCCCTGACGAGCTTATTCCAAGGCCATTCAGCAGAAAATCACCATTTTGGCACCCCACACTCGACAATTATGGAAAGAATTGGTTTCAAAAAATTCGTGATAACATGATCTGAAGAACGAAAGGAAGCATTATAGCTTTTTTAGCAGGCGAAGGATACAGAAGGTTTGTGTAGCTTTGTTTTCACTCCTAGTTTTGCCTTGTATTTTACTTCACTAATGAATAAATCCTGTGTTGGTAGACTTTTGTGGCGGTGTAATGTAAACATATGTAAAATACATCATACATTCGAAAGTCTGGTTCGTCATGTTTGGCTAATTATATTAACCCATACTGTTGTTTGATTTCACCTTGAATTGGCATTGTTTATATCATTGCTAAATGTTAGCTGGGCACAATATTTGTATTAGTCTTCCCCGGTGAAATTGAATTGCATCAGCGTTTCTTGGGAAGGAGTGGTTGCATCTCCAAATGTAGTACTCTCTAGGTCTGATGGGGCATGAAATAGCATTGCAAAATTGGTAGAATGGGTAAAAACCTGCTCAATCTGGTCCAAATCACACGGTTTGGTTCATTTTTTAGAAGACAGTTTGATTTTGGTTCTGAAATTGTAGAATCAAACTGAATTAAATCGATTTCTATGATTTGGTGGTTTTGATTTGGTTACATTAATTCAACAGTTTGATTTTTGTGTTCTCGATACGTATTGATGCTTGTAGAATGAATTGGTTAGAACTCAGTCAGTAATCAGCGCTGCATAGGAAATTTCAAATGCTGTTGACACAGAATTTTACAATTTAAGGATCTTTAATGAAAAAATTGTTGAGAAATGCTGAATAGATTGTTTAATTTTGTACCATTTAGATAGTTATGTATGCTGATACATTGCGACTGTTTAAGTAGTTCTAAACTTGAATCTTCCTTCTCTTCTTTCTGTAATAAAAATTGGTTGCAGAGCTTTTCAGGAATTACTTGAAACAGATAAGGGAGGAAACAAGTGGGAGACTCTTGAGCGTTGCATACAGGCCCAATGGCACACCAAATAAATGGTGGCTGGCATTCGCCAAGAGAAAATTTATGAACATCATTGTTCCCTGACAAGCTTATTCCAAGGCCATTCAGCAGAAAATCACCATTTTGGCACCCCACACTCGACAATTATGGAAAGAATTGGTTTCAGAAAATTCGTGATAACATGATCTGAAGAACGAAAGGAAGCATTATAGCTTTTTTAGCAGGCGAAGGATACAGAAGGTTTGTGTAGCTTTGTTTTCACTCCTAGTTTTGCCTTGTATTTTACTTCACTGATGAATAAATCCTGTGTTGGTAAACTTGTGGCGGTGTAATGTAAACATATGTAAAATACATCATACATTCGAAAGTCTGGTTCGTCATGTTTGGCTAATTATATTAACCCATACTGTTGTTTGATTTCACCTTGAATTGGCATTGTTTATATCATTGCTAAATGTTAGCTGGGCACAATATTTGTATTAGTCTTCCCCGGTGAAATTGAATTGCATCAGCGTTTCTTGGGAAGGAGTGGTTGCATCTCCAAATGTAGTACTCTCTGGGCATGTTTGGCCATGTTTGATTGGATGGATTAGAGTATGGGATTGAGATTATTAATCTGTTATCTTATGTTTGTTTTAATATTTTGGTTTAGGATTATTAATCTAATGGATAATTAATCTAACAAATTTGTAGGATTATTAGTAATGGGGTAGGGGTAGGATTATTAATCCAATGGATAATTTATCCTATTAATCCAAGGCCATGTTTGTTTGGGCGGACTGGATTAGCATTCCCATGACTAATAGTCCTATGACTGCCAATCCGTTGGATTATGTATCCTATCTTAACTAATAGTGAAGTTTAAAATAATTAGTCCGTACTTCAATTGTTTAACTAAACATCGGATTAATAATTTTATTTGACTATTAGTCTAATCCCAAGCTCATGTCCACCCAAACAAACATGACCCAATTGGATAGTGAATACCACACTAATTTTGATAATATTATTAATATCTCACTATTAGTCTTGTGAATCAAATATAGCCTCTAGGTCTGATGGGGCATGAAATAGCATTGCAAAATTGGTAGAATGGGTAAAAACCTGCTCAATCTGGTCCAAATCACACGGCTTGGTTCATTTTTTAGAAGACAGTTTGATTTTGGTTCTGAAATTGTAGAATCAAACTGAATTAAATCGATTTCTATGATTTGGTGGTTTTGATTTGGTTACGTTAATTCAACAGTTTGATTTTAGTAGGAGAATTTCTTAAAACTATAAAGAGCAATTTGGTCTCATACTATTTTAAAATCAAACCAATTCAATCCATTCCTTTCCATTTCATAAACACTACTATCTAATATTTGTGTGCACTCGAGGCTTGTCTTTGTATTTATTTCAATTCAGTTTAAATTTTAAAAAATAATTATAGGTAAGTGATAAATTTTATAAATATCAATTATTAGAGTTATAATCTTTTTTCATGTACCTGTAATAATTTTTTAAAAGTACTACTGTTTCATAATTACCTCATATTTTAATGTATTTGTTTCTATATATATTCAATAGGTATTGCATGACCAAATAATTTAAGGAGGGACGCACTGCAGGTGGGGTGACCCATTGGGTCGTCGGAGTAGGGCTGACCTTGAGGAAGAGGCAATATAGGTGGTCTTGTGCCTCCAAATTTTAACAAAATTTAGGATCCTTAATTAGGGATGGCTATTGTGTTGTGTTATTTTGGATTCGTGTCAAAATTACCTCAACATTAATTCAATTAATTTATTTTTCATGTTATTTTTTTCTGTTAGTGTCCGACTAATATCTTGCTAATGTGTCATCTCAAAAACTTTTGTTCTTAATTAAAAATAGAGGAAATCGGTCTAAGGTCCCTATCTAACTTTTAGTAATGGATTAGGTCCACAATGCGTTCTTTTGTAGTCTAAGGTCCCTCACCCCATCCCCTCTCCATCCACGTTGTCCTGAGCTTGATCACCGCTGGCTCCAAATCCCCAACCCTTGACCAGTTGCTCTCCTTCCTCAACTCCAAATCCTGCGACGAACTCAACTCTCTCTCTTCGTAGCTCGTCTCCCTCGTCAACGGTGGAAGTTGGGAAGAGAGTGTCATCCATGATTCCAAAAGGTAGTCCTTACTGTTCTGAAATATCGATTCCTGCAGAACCAACCGAGCCCCTTTGGATGGAAACTGGTGCTTCGGCTGATTGCAGCTCCTTCATGAAAGCAGACCCAAAGAGTGTTTCAAGTGTCAGATTCTTCCCAGAATGGGGAATACTATCGGCCTTTTCCCCTCTAGAGTTGTCAGGGGCAGTGCCAACAATTGCACCTTCAGAAATATGTAGTTTGTCAAAGGATCTACTGTCTAAATTAGGGGATTGTGCAATATCACATGCTTCTGTCTGTGCTTGGAGGGACTCCTCCTCAGAATACTGTTGTTTCCATTGCCCGGGATTCTGCTTTTTCAGACTTGAATCGGAAAGGGGGTTATTCATCCAATTCATTGCAGTCTAGGTTACTCACCTCTATAGTCAATCCTGCTCCCTCTGATTATTCTGATACACACAAACTGGTTCTTTTATACACATCAAACCCAGAGAAAATTCAAATTTCTCTGGGTTCAACCAAGAGAAAATTCAATCCAACAACCCAGAGAAAATTCAGACCAACCAAACCAGAGAAACTGTGAAGAAGGCTATGCCGAAGCCGAGGGAATAGAGAAGATGGGCAATTTCCTTGAGTTGCGGCTGTTTGAAGTGTAATGGATGATTATAGCCACCCTGAAGGGCTTTGAACCAGAAATATATGTATTTACCTGTCTTTTGATTTTGTTGTGTGAATACCTCTTTGTATGCTTTTGAGATTGCGACCAACTAGTGTCTCTGGATTGGTGAACTTCAACTGCATCTATATACAGTGGTTATATCAGTTAGGTACTGCATTAAAAAATTATTCAAAGGATCCAGAGAAATTTCAAAATTTCTCTGGAGAGGTAATATTGATATAGCTAGTTATCATGCATGTTCATGAAACTTTCAAATCCTCTTGTAAATTTGCAGTTCTTATGTTGATTGATATGCTATACCTACTACTCCTCCTCTGTTATAAATCCTTGAATTTTACAAAATTGTTTTTTAAAAGTATACATACAAACTGGTTCTTATATACACGTCCAACCCAGAGAAAAATTTCTCTGGGTTCAACCCAAAGAAAATTCAGTCCAACCAAACTAGAGAATTTTGTAACTTGTTGCTGAGAGCAGGCGGGCGAAAGCTCATGTGCAAAACCAACTTGAGCAGCCCGATGCTGAGAGGAAACGGGCATCTGTTCATGATAGAATGAGGGTACCTATTACTTACGACGATCTAATTGGAGAGGAGGATCCAAAAGACAAATCAACTTGATCTGGGAAGAACTGCATGTTTCTATGGTTCGAACAGTTTTGTAAATTTTTGGTTCTCCAATTTAAATTCCTTTCCAGCATTCTCTTTCTCAGCTACCAAGGTAATAAAAGACATATTTTGCCTATTCTCCAAAAAAGGAGGTGTTTGTGTTTGGAACTTTGGATTAGTGCTTTGCTTCCAACTGTCAAAATTGAACTGCTTATACATACTCTCTCTCTCTCTCTCTGATTGTTGGGTTTGATTACTTGATTGTCCCCATCATCATACAAGCATTCAGCCTTTGCCCTTCATAATCATTTCTTTCCCAGAATTGTCATCAATCTATTCTCAACATTTTCAACTCAGAGAATTTCTCTGGACCATAATTTCTCTGGGCAGAATTTCTCTGGACCATAATTTCTCTAGATCGGATTTTCTCTGGATTGAATTTTCTCTGGATTGATGTTGAGGGACCTTAGACATCATGAAAATAGTTGATGTCCTTTATACTATAAAATCATAATATCAGGGATCTTAAAAAAAATACCCCTTAAAAATACTAAATCTACAGCGACATTAAAATTTTTCTCATAAGTTAAATTTCGTAAAACTAATCTCTATTAAATTAAACTATTCATAAAGTATTTGATTTCAACTCAATTATATTTTCTTGATTTAAAAAAAAAATATACCTTATTATTATTATTTATTTTTTTATTAGATTGACATTTAAATAAGTAACAAAAAATACATATATTAAAGGAAAAAAATTATTTTTAAATTCATATTTTGCATATTTGTTTATGTCGTTAGATGGAATTACATAAAAAGATTAAAAAAATGTTATGACACCTTTTAGCAGAGATAAGATTAAAATGTGTAATTAATTATTGATGTTATCCGGTTGTATCATATTTGAATTCATATTGAAAAATGGCTAACCATAACCCGCAATTTCGTATATAGTTTGAGTCACCCTTACCTTT